CCGTCATTAGTGGAACCTCTGCTTCTTAAATAGATTGATAACCGCCTGGGCAACGAAATCTGCAGAGTTCAAGAATGAGTTATTATATTATTGCCTTAGCAAAAAGTGGGTTGAGACGGGAAAGCAATAGCTTCAAAAAATTTACATCAGCACTAGGTCATCCATTCGGTTTACTAGTCCAAGTCAGCGTAGCTGTGTTTTATGCGAGAAGAAAAGTCACTTATAATGTCAGCTTTGATCGCCGAAAGAGGACTTTATTTCGCCATTGCCTTCTCAGTTCTAAGCAATGCGTGCTTTGCATGATTGGTTTATATTGGATTTGAAAGACTTTGAGCAAATTCTCAAGTAATCTTTCTCTTTCCTTAGCGTGTTGAGATATAAAAAATCTTGAAGTGTGGCTTGAGAATAATTCCTTGCTTATTAAATGATTTTCATATTGCGCAACATCGTCGCAACCGAACCAAATATAAGATTAGGCGGCTTTGTCTCTCCCGTGGATTATAATCTTGGAGCTTTAAACCTGTAGAATATTAAACAATCGCTTCAAATATTTTCTAATACCTATAAGTCCACATTCAAGCCACTTGTTGATCCATTTAATATTAGCTTACGGTTGCTGAATATATTTACCGAAAAACAAATAAACATTAAAACACTGATTTAAACAAGCAAGGTAATTGACAAAATAAAACAACAACAGCACACCAACAGCATCGTTTAAGTACCGCAAATGTTGAATAGTGCACAAATATGGAAATATGCTAAATTGAATAAAGCGATAAACATAAAATGTACATTAATGCATTGCCTTTCGTCACACGAATACACTTATGCACGCTTTCTCGCACACAAACATACATACAATTTTTACATCCATATGTATGTGCATTAGCGTTAATTAGATTGTTTCGGTTGTCGATTCCAATTTACTCATGCAAGTTAAGCTATTTTAGTATTACTATTTGCGTTCAGTTCGATTACGAGCCGTTTTTTGTTGCATTTTTTTGTTGTTATTGTTAATTTACACAATTAAATTCTTGCCACATGTGGCATAGAGTATAGTCGTTTTGTTCTCCTAACAGTTGTTATATAACATAGTTAATTAATCGAGAGAGTTTTGTGTGTCGAATTGATCGGACGAGTTGAGTTCGGATGTTCGCCCGTCAGTCCGTCTATCAGTTTATTTGTCTGTCCGTTTGTTCCACATAGTGCTTGTCCGGTCGTCAGCTTGTCCGTCTGTCCGTTTGTCCATTTCTCCGACCTTCTGTTTGTTCGCTCGTCCGTTTGTCCTATCGCCCGATCGCTTGTCCGTCCGTCCGTCTGTCTGTCCGCCTGTTTGTCCATCCGTCCGAATAGTTAAATTCGGTCCTTTTCAATCGCCAGATAGCCAAGCCCTTGGATAACGAAAATACCGATCGATTTGCTTAATCTCTTAATGAAATGAGGTAGCCATCCTTTTCCGTCAATAAAGTTGGTCTCAGAATAAACTTGATAAAATCCAAATAATACTTTTTCGAACCCCAATATACCTATTATAATGATTTTAAAACTTGCCATCGACCTTATATCTATGTATAGGTCAATATGCAAGACATCCTAACTAAATTAAGTGAATGTATTTTCTTGAGAATATTATAGTTGGTAGAGTGAAATCGGTCCATGTCTTACCCCAGTTCGACACTTGACTGTAATTGATTAACAATTCGTCCTATAAAGAATGTCAAATTTATTGCAAACATTTTTTAACATTAGCTTTTGTAGACAAGCCTTTAAGTTTTACATTTGCACAAAAATATTATATTTCGACTGTGTTCGCACTTAACTCTTCCTTACTTATTAAGGTTGCATATGTTTGTTTGTTTGGTTGCCTAACTAATCGAATGCCTGACGCCTGGTCGCCGGAATGCTTGAACGCATTTCCAACTTCAACGCTATAGATGTACTTACATATGTATTGATTTATTTATAAGTACCAATATGGTAATGCATTGGTAAATATTATTCAATATTTTAGTTAATAATAGCTCATTTTTTCACAAGCGCCTCGGGTTAATCGAATTCAATGGAACCGCAATAAAATCATTTGCTTTAACATTTCGATTTACGATTTGTCAATTGACATTTGCAATTAGCATTTACACACGCACATACACGCGCAGCATTAGCGTTACATATGCCCACCTGCAGCAGTTGCATTTAAATAATCACGCTCGGCATTTTTGTAATTTAATAAAACCAATAATGCAAATATTTTTTTTGTAGACATTTTAAAATTTTATGCAAAGCATGATAAATAATTACCATGTTATTGTTTTTATACTCTAGCAACATGTTGCTACAGCGTATAATAGTTTTGTTCACCTAACGGTTGTGCGTATCACCTAAAACTAATCGAGTTAGATATAGGGTTATGCATATACAAGTATAAATGATATGGATGAAGAGACGAGTTGAAATCCGAGTGACTGTCTATCTGTCCGTCCGTCCGCCAGCCTGTGCAAACTGTAACTTGAGTAAAAGTTGAGATATCTTTAATTTGGTTGGTAATGCAGAATAATTGGATCGACGTAATCGGATCACTGCCACGCCCACAAAACGCCATTAATCGAAAGCTAAGCACTAAATTAAGATATTTGTATAATAGTAATTTCATATAGTAGATTGTATTGGGGAGGGGCATCTATGGTTATGATTGAACAATTGTTCAAAAGTGGGCGTGGCTCCGACTCCTCTTAAGTTAAATGTATATATCTCCTAAACATTCAAACTATATACCCCAATATGCACAGAATAAATATTTTTGACACTTGCTTCGACAGTGTGAAAATGGATAAAATCGCATGATGACTCCGCCCACACACTATATAACGGTTTTGTTAAAAACTACTAAAAGTGCGATAAATCAATAACTAAATGCGGCAGAGACATTAAATTTTATATCCGGGATGACACAAGGGGGTTTTAAAAACCTAATTTTTTACCAGAAATAACGGTCAATCTGTGAGATATAATATTGCGATTCGAAAAGAGTCTGTTTCTAATAATAGTATATATACATATGCATTTATATATATATATGGACAAATAGTTGGACGCGACCCCCACCGATTCGACTGAATTTTTTCAAAGGAGTTATGCAAAATCCAAAACTTCACTGTTTCTTCGATATTATTTATTTAATATTTCAGAAACTACTCTATATTAAATAAAGAACACTGGTGCGTTGCTGAAAAAATAGAAAAAAACTATTTTGCCAAAATTCAAAAATTAATATCTTTAAAGGAGAAACAGAGTTAAAGGTATATATATACATATAAAAAATTTTGAGGCCAACATTTTCTTTTTTCTTTCTTTTTTACTTTTTACTTACGATTTTGAAAAATTCAAAATTTTCTAATTTTTAAAAAATTTGTTTCCCATACCTCTAAGCGTCCTCTGAAAACGCATAAGCGTTTTTTATTTAATATACAGAACTTCGTTTTATGATAAGACAAAACTTTCCACCAAAATTCAGTCGAATCGATGGGGGTCGCGTCCAACTATTTGTCGATTTGTCATGGAATGACCCCTATGTTGAATTGCTCCGCAAAATTTTTTAATAAAAGTTTTTCTAAAACCGGAGGGTATTTTACTTGCTTTGATACTTGCAAGTTGCGAGAGTCTAAAATTTTCGGTTCCACTCGAATTTAGCTCTTTCTTACTTGTTGTTTTTCTTTTTGCTATTCACAGAATAATTCCATAATTTCCAATTATTGTTGTTAATTTACGGTTATAGCGGAAAACAGTTATTTATGCATCAAATACTGCATAAAATGTTAACAATTAAATCGGAGAAAAAAACAAATAAATCAAATAAAATAAAATAGCATAAAATAACTGTGGTAAATATGCTAATACATTTATTTTAAATTTTATTTCACCGAGTTTTGTTAACCCTTTGAGGTGCTTATTTAATTGTTGGAATATTTGATTTCATATAAATCGATAAAAATCTGATCAGACAAACAAAAACAATTAGTGTTGAGGCCAAAGTTCGTAGTTAGCGCACACACACATCTCTACAATTCTTATAATCAGAATATGGCTCGCATAGTTTAAGGATACAGGACAGCGGCTACTCTGTTGTCCTAAAGAAAAATCCAAAAATAACAATTTATTCTGGATATTTAAAAGAAATTCTTCCATATTTTATCTTGCATGGCCGCTGCATGACTTGATTTTCGTTCAAAATGAACTTCAAGATCGTCCTAAAAGACCTCTACGTCATTGAGTAACCTTTATTCCGTTGCTATGAGAAATGTACACATAGAGAGTATGTATTAGACTAAAAATTCTGTCAGACGATCTTTGCCAAAGCTGTATGAAGGAAGGTGAGGTGGAATCTTCTTGTCACTTCCTTCTTTATTTCCCAGACTGAGATTTTAATACTTCGGTACACACACCTTTGGTGAACCTAGCGAAGTTGCAGGCATTGATATTAACCGCCTTGAAAATTTGATGATCTGGTGATTCACCTTTAGGAGTTAATGGGTAACACAATGTACAAATATCTGTCCAAGTGAGATTCAACGATTTTGGATCAAACCCACGACCTAACCTATAAAAAGGTTATCCACGATGGGACTCAGATAGGTAGGTAGGATTTTTTTCGTTCAACTATAATATTTTCCGCAGCCATCTTTAAATAATTCCACGTTGGTAGTAGTAGTTGGTCTAGGGATTGTGTTACCTCAAAATATCTCACTTGACTGATTGGAGACATGCAGGTTTCGCTTTGTTTACATAAATCCGACACTGTATGAAACAGTACTTTTCTTATAACAAATTTGTGAGAACGGTGAATATCTAAAAGCTCCTACAATGTTTCATAATCAAAAGAGCTTGACCTCTGCTCAAATGTAAGAAAACATACATTTTTTTCAAATCATTTTTTAAGTTCTTACTAGATTTGGTTTCAATGAATAAATATTCACCAACATCTACTTTCTCTTTACTTCCAGGTTACATGCTCGCTTCTACGCTAACCGCTGATCAACCGGAACGCTCCCTGCAATTACAATTGGATCAACTATTAGTGCACGTCATGAAGATACTTAACATCTACTATCATTTGATTACGCAACAGAAGCCCCAACTATTTGTGAAAGTGCAGAAAAGTGATCTGTTCGCCAATGCGAAAGAATTGGCGCTAGTGCAGAGCGTCGGATATTTCGGCAGCGATTACATTTATATAAAACTTTACAACATTTTAAGAAGTGCTAATGACAGCTACAAGGTAAGCGTAATTGTGTTGCATGCAACACTCACACACAGCCCGAGACAGACGGACAGACAGTAGCGAAAAGTGAAGTGAAGAATAATACAATCTGTATTCAGTGCGTCTGTTATTTTGCGGATTTTTAGACAACTGCGTTTATATGTATGTATGTAATGTAGTATGCGTGTATTTGAGTTTGTATATGTATATAATACTGTTGTGCTCACGTAGCACGAAAGCTTCACATCCAATACCCACTGTTTTCCGGGAATTTCGAGTCCAAATGCAATTGCTGAGCATATTTTAATACCGCATGTGTGTGTGTGGATATGCTTACTTATACATACATACGTAAGCACATGTACATATCCCTCAATTTGGTCGGCCAGCTTTAGTTGTTGGTTGACGCGCATTAGTGACTTCACTCTTGAACATTACGTAAATTGTAAAAGTTCCTCGTGGCTTCTCGCTGTGTTGGCGCTCCTTGTTCTCTGTTTTGCTGCGTAAACTTGTCTGACCCCCGTCAGTTTGTTTTATTCTTTCGCGAATTTAAATTTCGATTGTGGACTCAAAGAGACTTTATCTGTAGCTACGCATTTAATGTGTGAATCTGTGATTATATGTATGTGTGTGTTTGCATGTTTATAGAAATTGTGCTCTGTGCTTGGGTATGTAAATACTATCCCGTGGGGCTTTTTGGGTATTGCTTACAGCCACATGCAGTTGGCTATGTACTTCTCTTACTTACGAGGGCATTTGAGTATATCAATAGGATCTTCTTGGAACTTTTCAAGAGCCTGTAGAGCGAAGCAGTGTCGCTTGGGAAGGTCGAGTGGCTTCAAGCTCTATTTTGTACGCTTTCAATTTAAGATCTCAACGTAAAATGCGCCAAGTCGTAGCTTTCCATTATTTCTTTTGTATGCTTATCCCCAGTTTCTCTGATCCAAGTATTTATTGCTTTAGTCGGTAACACAAGACTTTGCCCATCTTCAGTGAATAACATATCTTGTTAAGTGACCATATCATTGACTTCTTCAGCTGTCCGCGTATCTGCTTTTGTTGTAGCACTACTGTGCAACCGCACGAACGTCGAATATGTAGTGAGCGAGATTTTGTGGCTTTTCGCGTGGGTTGCGAGGATTTTTAGTATCTGATACTTGTGGTTTAAAAAGTTGCAAACTAGCAGCAATCATAAAGACAAGCAATCCAGCCATGAGGAGGGAAGTAGCGCGGTTTCAAAATGCGCGCACGAACTGATGCCGAGTGAAACATATGTATCTACTTTATATATGTATGCACACACATACCAAACATAGAAACATACATATGCGCTCATGTTGATATTTGCAAAGTGGTAATTTGTGCAGCATTTAAAGTTACAATGGGTGTAACGACTCCCAAAATAGCTAACTCCGACTGACGGACGCACTGACTGCGTGCTTCAGTCGCCTGCCGTTCGTTGCGCTTCTTAATGCGTTGCTCTTGTTGTTCTATTTGTCTGGCTGCATTTTCATTTTAAAGCTTTTGTGGTAATGTAATTTGTGTGACAGTTTATTTCGGGTTTACGCTTGGACGTGTTGCCCAATCATGATCCAGATAGCAACGCAGATACGCTTAAGGGCTTGAGTATAAAACTAAGAGAATGCACCGAGCAGTGCCGTCATCATACTAGAAATGATACATAAAGTTGACAAACGGCAGATGGGAGTTCTCTGTGTGAAAGATGTATGCTCTTATATTAATGGATAAGTGTGTTTGTGAGCTGTGTGCCGATCGACATTTTATGGCTCTCTGAAACAAAGTGTGAGCTCATAAATTTGTACTTTTAGTTTTTAGAAATGAGGTGATATCAGTACAACGAATGCAGGTTCATAGAAAAATTGTTTAGCAATACATGGGCTCGAGATATTTTGATTTCGAAGTCTAGTCAATTCAAAAACACACAGTAATATTGTTTATTTGGAAAATAATTTCATTGTGATCCAATCCGAAAAAACTGAAATTTTCTCCCTCAAGCTCAATATTATTTTGAGGCTACCGTATCACAGTAGCGTATTTCAAGCCGTGGTAGTTGCCATTAAGGTAGCATTAGACGTATTGCTACGAAAAGCAGTCTCTTTCAGTGAGGTGAGCATTCAAGCTACTATATTGTCAAAATCGTCTGGTGCCCGGTCATAGCGAAATTGCTTAAAACTGCAAAACCGATGAACTTACAAGAGAGGATACCTTTGGCCAATTACATTGGGTTGGGAGCGTTCTTTTGCGTAGTCTCATGTGTTCTTGCGCTTGATTTTAATACTTCCCGAGAGCTTAGCAAGCGCTAGTCAACAACTAGCTCCTGTGTAAATAAGATATTCTTCTGGCCTAATGCAGAACGAAATCGTAGGAGCTCTCACTACACATTAAGCGTACATGAGGAAAGGTTGAAATTTTTGATGGACGTTGTCAAAGTTGTATGGAGGAAGGTGAGGCGGAAAAATCGACGCAATTTCTCCTTCATTCTATAGCTTTTGCAAGACAGAGGTTGAAACCTCTTGATAGTCATATCTTCGGCCAACCTAGCGGAATATCCTCCTTTGTCGACTTTTGATAGTCCTTTCGATCAATACTTAGGAGTATTTAGGTATTGCAATGCAGTTGCGTTCTCAGCTTTCCAAGTGGGATCCATTTATTTTATCGAGCTTTTAACGTAACATAACCTAGCTCAAAAAATACTGGCTCTAATTGTTGCTTTTTCGGTCGCTTTGGATCACTCTGATCGGGAAAAAAACATTCAGCCAGCTTTCGATTGAACTTAGGTGTGTAATGATGTATCCAAGTTTCGAAAAGTCTGGTACTAGGTTAAAAACTGCCACTAGGAATCTCATAGGAGAAGAGCAATGTTTATTTACTGATATAATGATGATAAAATAAAGTGTGACATAAATTGGTATATTATGATGTGATGATATGCGATGTGATGTAAACTGATATGGCGTGATGTGTTATGAAAGAAATTGATGCGAATAGGATGTGACGCATGTAAAAATGTGTATTGTGTTGTGATGCTGATATGCTATGATTTGATATAATGTGAAATACAGAGAGATGATGTTTAGTTTCATGTGATGATAATTAGTGATCTGATACAGCGATATGGTGACGGATATAAAAAAAAATTCGAATGATGTGATGTAAATAGTTTTGATGATATCTTAAGTGATATGACAAGAGGCGACGACGAATATTCGTAGTACTCGGCGACGCCGTCGGTGATTAGAACACACGATTGTATATGAAAATTAACACAATACGCGACGGCGGCGAATTTCGAGGACCATGATGATTTTTGAGCTTGAGCTATTTCGAATTTTATCGCCGACCGCGGCTGCAAATACGGCTCACCATATTAAAGAAAGATTATTTTCAGTATGGATCTTAAGAATTTTCCAAAAAAATTTAAGAGAATGTCTGCGTATATTGCCAACAAAGATTGTTTGTGTTTAGTTTCGTTATTTATTGTGATATTTTTGAGTGCGGAGTACTCGTCCGTATTGTGTTTTACACGGCGGCAACACTCGGCAAAAATCGGCATTCTTCCAACGGCGTCGCCCGTATAGTGTTTAAGCTATTAAGCTTTAAATAAGCGTGAATCAAGAAAAAAACTAATTCAAAATCTGAAAGTCTTTCGCTGCATAAAATATACTCGTAGTTAATTGCACTTAATTCCACGCGTTAGTTTTAACCAAATTTGCTCTAGACTTTGCTTTATCCTATAAACACCTACATACACATTTGTACCCACATATACTTAGATATACTGTAGTAAAGTCTATTTCTCTATTCTCTCCCGTCGCCTATACAGATAACGATAAATCAAGAATCCGGCAGGTTATTAATTTCGCTACTCCGGACGTGCCTCAACACTTTGGGCTTGTGCATTGAATTGCGCTCACATACCACACCAACACCCGCTGCCACGCCCACCGGCCATACTCCCAGCCATGGGCGGCAGCGCGGCTACAGCCCGGGTAGCAGTGGCGCGGATATTGCGTCCAACATTGGACCTGGCGGCGGCAGCGGTGCTACGGCAGTCTTCCCAACCAACGCCACTCTAACATTAATTGAAGAAATTCTCCAATATTTGAGCAAGCTCGTAAATTATGCGCCCGGCGAGTGCATCGCATGTCTGCGGCAACTGTTGAAATATTTATTTGGCCAAAATTATGGCAACCAGCAGCGAGACTATTATGCCACATTCATAAGACCGTATTTTGTGGTGCGCAGCAAAGGACAACAGCTGCAACTACACCTACAGCAACAGCAACAGCAGCAGCAGCGGCGGAGTCCGCAGAAACAACAAAAATGGCCAACATACAACAAACAACAACAGCAACAAACGCAGCAGGGAAGTAGCCGTAGAGGAAGCAACAGCAGCAGCAGTAAGTTTACGCAAGCCAGTGGCGATCACCAACAGGCAATGACCATGTTGCATGCCATAAATTCCAATGCGGCAACAACATTGGCTTCCACGGACGCAGCGGGTGGAGTTCCGAGTTCAATGGCAACAACAAGTGATGGCTCAACCAGCGCGCCAAAGAGCGCGGCGGGCGATGGTTTGTCGACCCCGACAATGACTACGTCAACTGTCAGACACAATGAGCTAAATGTAATTGGTGCACAAGCAAAAGCGACTTATGCCAACCGTGGTCAGGCGCTCATTGACTCCGGTCATGCCAGAGGCTGCGTGAGTGGCACAGCTGTTGCAGCTAGTGGCAACGACCACAATCAACCGCACTTGTCGGCTACGGAGTATTATCGCTTGATGGGCGAATTATTTGCGAGCGGCCTAAATTTGCAAGCTGCCAAGTCGGAGCGTGTCGGTGACTGTGTCAAGCATATTAAACTGTTTGAGCCGCTAGTTATCTATTGTCTCATGGTGAGTACAGTTATACTACGCTCTCGCTTAATGATGCATGCATAAATACATACAAACATATATATATGTACGAGTATAAGTGTGCGTGCATATGTTAATTTCCGGTAGTGAAAATACAGACGGACTCTATGTACACTTCTGCAGCTGTTTGTGTGCCATTTATAGATCATGAGCAATATTTCAGTTCGCTTTTGTGGTGGAAACCTTCAATCTTCAGTTAGTTCGAAAATAATTGAATCAACAAAATTTCACACTCACTGTGGTGAATTCTTCTATGGTACTGCACCCGAGGCGTTGATTTAGCCAATTTACTTTAAGAAATTAAAGTATGATTTCAAAGAACGGGCAATTGAAGTAGTCCGAACCTACCTTAAAGTTAAAATGCGAGTCGAAATTAGTGTACCACATTATTCCAAAGAGACAGCGGTTCCGAAGAAATTTTTATTCTTCAGCCATTAATTTTATAGAGCTAGCGAATCCCTAGCATACATTCAAGAGATGAGTGCTGTGCCTTGTCAACACTTAAGACCTATTGCGGCCGAAAACAATCTCAGTATAACTATTATTTTAGCTGTTTTCAATAAATATATATTTTTTTTCAAAGTCGTATAGAACTACATATTTTTGAATTAGACCTGATTGTGTTTCAAAATTTGCAGTGCTCTGATTCTAAACTGTATACGTGATATGCTTTCGATTTTATAGCTACAGCGGTTGAACCTACAATTCTCTACAATTTATGACAGGCTCAAAGCTCTTGGTCGATAGACGAGGGTCCTTAGTACATTACTTAGCAGTTCTTAGCATCACAAAAGAACGGTTTTCAACAGCCCAAGTAGGTTTCTCGTGATCTCGGTCGCATGGATCAGCTTCGCTACCTAAACTAAACGTTGAAGACTAAAAACTTAGTTGAATTTATATTCACCCTTTCGGGTTTTGGTGTTTTGTGAAGCCAGTATACAGATAAAATGTGTATCGATATGGAAAGTGTTCTCAGTCAACTTGATTCTCGTAATATTCAAAGAGTTTCTCCTTGTTCGTTAGTCTTCATCAAAAAAAATAGATATTGAAGTTTAGACCTTAGAATTTTTGTGCATTCCATTTCAACCAGTTCGATCTTTTCGTCTGACATAAACGTTACGGATCCAAAAGAGTATTTTCTCTTGGCGAGTCTCCATAAGCAGACCTCACACATCTACTGATTGCTTTAGAATGCACTTTCTAAAAAAGAGTCGTTTAGAGTTCGCAGCTTTGTCTTTAGATGTAGTAGGCTCAAGCCTCTAAAGCCTTAAAGTTCTTCCGATTTGTTTGGTTCAGGGTTCCATAAATTTGTACTACTGCCTCTCACAGGTAAATTGTTCGCAAAGTTTGGAACTTTCGGCTTTGTGGGTAAATTCTGTATTGAATACATACAAGCAACTCGCAACAAATTAACAGATAAGTTAAGAACCGAAATTAAGTTTGAAACTTCAGCACTTAAAGTGGAACCTACAGCACACAATCACTTCCGAAGTACTCTCTTCTGGCTGCACAAGCTTCCACCCTTTGCAGCTGCGTCTTCGTTCTGCATTCAACTCACAGTGGTCGTAGGCACCTATCTTCAGCCTCCATGTCCTTATCTACCCTCATAAATTAGAGCGTTCACAGCAAAACTTCGGTATTAGGTGGGTGGGTGTGAATAGCCTCTGCTCTTCGAGTTCACTTCCTACACTACATCCTCTTGAACTACAATACTCATTTGCTGTGTGTGGCATACAAGCTGCAACATTGACTTGGGCAGACAGCCATTAATATAATCAAAAAGGCCACAAGAGTTGCCAGCTGTGTTGGTGCCTGTGTGGTAACAGAGAGTTGGAGAGCTGATTGAAATGATCCCTCAACAGATTTGCCGCACAGCTTTCAGTGTAAACATTTATTATTTACACACTGCTAACTACTGCCTAATATATTGATTTATGCACACACACACACACACATACGCATGCCCCTAAACATAGACAAGTAGGAAAATGAATGTATAAAATTGGATTTGTAAATTTTCGCATATTTTCAGCTTTTCCTCAAATCGAATGCACGTGTCCAGGCGCCCATATTGGAGTTGTTGTCGCAGTTGCTGGAACTCAATGTCACTTACAGTGTGTTGGACTCGAAAAATGTAATATTTGATCAGATTTTAAACAATTTGGATTTAATTGAAAATAGCATTGTCAGGTGAGTGTTGAATGCTGAATGCTGAATGTTGCATGTGGCATATTGCATGTTGATTTGTTGCTGTGGCATCCCTCAAATGTATCTACATATATGTATACCCGATAGTTGTTGATGACTATTTATTTATTTTCTTATGTGTGAGTGTATGTGTGTGTGTGTGTGAGTGATGAGCTCTGCAGATGGAGGGCGGCACAGGAAACAGGAAGCGCTGTCGGAAACAATGAAAATTCGCCTGTTTGTTGACTGTCTGCTGTGCTGGTGCGCGTGGTTGTGGTTGTGGTTTTGGTTGCTGTTCTAAAACACCAAATCACCGTGCACCTAAACGTACACGATGTACGTGTGTGTGCGTGCTGTTGTTGCGGCTGCAGCTGCAGGATTATTTTCGTTTTCAATTCGAAAATAAAATGTTATCTTTAGCCGGCGTTGACGCTGACGCATTTGAAATTCAAATATCACTCAAATATCTGTGTCTGCGCGTGTGTATAGCAGCAATAGGCGCATACAAACATATTCTGTTGTGGCAGTTGGTTGGTGAAGTGAGCCTAAAGCATTTTAAAGGATTTTCTATGGAAATTAGACTAGCCAGTTTGTCTACACTTAAGCTTACACACGCAGGCATATACACTTACATACATATGTATTGTATATGCAAGCCGCGCTGTAAATAGTCGATAAAATTTAAAGCTTAAAAGAAATTAGTCATTCAAATTGGAATTAAGCGATTAAATATTAATTGCTAACAATAAAAGATCACTATTTGAAGTTCGAGTGAAAATTTATGCATGAAAATATGCGATAAATTATTTTATTCTTAATGCTGCAAGAGAAAAGTGAATCAGTTTAATTGTTGTATTTTTTTTTTTTCATAAAATCATTTAATTTATAATATGTCAGTACTTTATTTTTCTCTGAAAAATATACGGAATGTATATAATTTGCTTTCACACAAGCCCTAACTCGATTCGGCTATTAATCAAAAGCTGCACACACAGTTTCTATTGGTATTGATGAGGCTGCTGAAAAGAAAGATGTTTTGAGTCTCTCAAAATTTCTGTGGGGTATTTAACAGGCCATCTCATCCAACTCTGACCACAAACTGTGGGTCAATAGATTCTATCTGGACTTCCAGACGGTCAATCATCTGCAGCTATGAAACTAGGAATATTGCTTTTAAGCCGCTACTGGGTGTTTTTTGTCTTGGGTGCTGGAGCAGAATCTTGTTGATATATCCAACGCTTTTTATCGAAGAGAGTATTGCTTAACTGCTTTACCGCGCCTTCTAAAACATCCTGGTGGTATAGTTTTAGACCAGTTTTAAATTTTTTTTCACAGAAGCGAAGAGGTGTCCTGCGTTTACAGGAGACTCCCCACCAAATCATTACAGCAGCTAAATGGTGACCATGATGGTAAAGCCTTGGTATAACATTTTTTGCGTCTTTGAAAGTTTAGGCATCGATTTTGTCGTTTTGCTTATTAAAGTTCTTCAATTTCAATTTTTAAAACTTTTTCATCTGTATAAAAAAAATAAACCGTTTGTATCTGTTGAAGCCTAATATGCTTCCCGCGCGTTGTCAGAAGATGACCAGTTGACCGACGGTATGCTTTCATGTGGAGATCATCTCGAATAAGTCTTGACATAGATCAGTGCGATATATCCATTTCCTTCGACATAATTTTCTGTTTCCTAAGTCGATTTCTGCGAAAGCATTCGCGAACGATTTGAACCTATCCATAATGCTACGGAAAGTTCTATATAAACAAAGATATATATCGAACAGTCTGTGTTGGATAATTTATCTTTGAATTGCTTTATCTCAGTGCATACATATATCTTAAGGGGTTATATCCGAGGACACCGAAAAAATATTTTTGACGGCTCGGTTAGTTAAAAATTAGTAGAGATAAGCTGATACCTCCAAAGCTATTTGCTGGATCAGTTTAAATTTTTCGGAGAATATTTTCAAATATATGTACATTCAAGTTCATCTAACTGCTTAATTTATTGTGTGGAATAACCTTTTTCTCTATCTTAGGGGAGATTTTACAAAGCCCGTTAATATCTACTGGTTTACTGGATGGTCAGATTCAACTGCTAATATAATACTATTTTGATACTTAGACATTGTTTTCAATTGAGCTTCTTCTCCATTTAGTAGATTTCTTATCAGTTTTACCCTACCAACAGCAACTGTGTCCTTTTTGTCGGTTTCGCTGCCAAACGGTCATTAAAGATAATTATATAACGTTAAAATAAATGAAAAACAAAGCTGTGTCTTATAAATCAATGTCGATATGTTGTCGAGCTTTATTGCTGTTGTTATTGTACCGGCATAAAATATGACTAAAAAAATTCTGGGTAATATAATATAAATTACCTTAAGTGGACCCGACTGTCGTGAAAGTCTGAAGCATTGTCGATTTTGTGTGCTAGATCAGTTCTGTTTTGGAACACAGAATACGGTGAGGGATAGGGGTTGGATTTCTGGTATACGGCACATATTTACGTGTTAAGGCATTGACAGTTGTCTAATATATACAACTAATTCTGCAGACACGGTTTAGACAAGTTCTTAAACACAATAGATTTGTTTATTTTTAAAAATTATGCTGTTCAATTTGTGATAATGGAGGTCAGAGGTATGGTCTAGAAACGGAAGTGGTTGGTTCGCAATCCTCTTTCTTCGACCACAGAGACCGCTTTCAGTAAAAGAGCGAATCAATTTGTTAACTGTTGAATTGAATGCTTCAAAGCGTCTAAGGTTGTCTAAATAAGCGTATGTCTACAGAAAATGTACCTGATCTTTGTCTCTGCAAAAAAACGTTTGTTCGCTATTTGTTCGCTTTTCATGGAGATAGCATCTGTGCTTTAACATCATATCTAAAATTTTTATTTGTCCTGCTTGTTGGAAGTGAGGCATTACTTCATCTTCCTATGGAAGAAATCCGGAATTCTGGTACTTGGATTTAAACATATTCTTTAAAAATTTAATTAACTTAGCGAAAAAATTGTTGGCCTCGAAAACACAATCCTATATTATCCCTTAAGAAAATGTTTAGTAATTTTTTCAAAAAACTTAGCTATTTAGGCATAATAATGGCATAAGCCCAAATTAAACATTTCTAAAACACTATTTGCTATCCTCTATTATAGAAATGGTCCGATCATCATTCCGCCAATGATTAAATTCCTCATACAGTTGACACACAAGAGTGATCGCAAACTTATAACCATACCGAAAATCATTAGCATCACCAACAATTTGCTGGCCAACAATGCAGTGCTCGACTGTGCTGTTCTAGCGCTCAAATCGCTCTCATACGAGATCTTCTTCATGCCGCCCGTGGGTGGCAGCGCCGCACTCAACACGCTCGCCGACTATCGGGCACCCTTCCAAAGTCCTGTCACACGTTCGCCGGTACAACAACGTCGTCACGCGGCTGAGGAGTCAGCCGCCGCTGCTGCCGCTGCTGAAGCGCTGTTGGCGAATAGTCGCGAGTTGGATACACAGAAGGAAGTTGTGTTGGGCATGTTGGAGAAATTCGTGGATGCCACTGAGTTGCAGCATGTTGTGGCTTTGTTGTTGTTGCGCGAACGTTGCGCCCAGCAAATGGACGGTGGTGATTTAGCACGACGCATGGAAATCGATGATGCCTCTGCGGTGGAGCGACAGAAAAGCAGTTGCATTTTGGAATCGACACGACTGCAAGATCCCGGTGTGGTTTATGTGCTGATTTGCCGCGCCATGTGCGACGGACGCTTGGGCGTACACAACTGGCGTGATTTTTACACATTGGAGTCGTGTTTCAAGAATTATAGCAAGTATGTGCTGGCGGATAGCAAGAATTTTCTCGCATTGTTGAAACTATTCTTAACGGAGGTAAGTAGAGTTTTCTATTCTAATACGGGTTTGTATGAAAATTAAATTCTCATGTGGGAAATCAAGGTGGAAAAGTAGATATATAGTTTGCGATCCCTGCGGATTCTTCTCCTAAGTTTCGGATCTATAATTTAAATTCTCTCTCTCTCACCATAATATCTATTTTGTCTGTACTAAAACTAAAATAATTAAAAATTCTTGGGTTTAAAGAATGTTGCTCTACGACGGTTCCGCTAAAGCTTGAAGCCCTAGGATGGTCCAATCATGCCATATTGTGACTAAAATGAAGGCATAGCGCGTCAGGGAGTACACCCGACCCCCATTCACCACCAGTTTGGTTTTGCACTAACATTACCTGAATCAAAGAACTCTATGTTGACTCAATTTCTTTTCCTGTACAAAATCGGGTGCTCTTATACTAGGTTTTTATTGTTGGGTTTCTCCCAATCAGTACTGTTGCTAAGACTTAATGTTGCGTAATTTTTCAATATTTCTAGTTTTCATTTTCTTATAGGTGGCAACTCTGTGCCTGTTCACATATATATAAATAAATGTTCAGGGTGACGAGCTAAGTCATGTCATGCCCGTCTATCTGTCCCTGCGTCCGTCTGTTCGTTCGTCTGTATATATACGAACTAGTCCCTCAGTTTTTGAAATATCGATGTAGAATTTTGCACTCGTTCTGTTCTCAACAAGAAACTGTTCATTTGTCGGAATCGCCGAAATCGCACCGCTATAGTATATAGCTGCCATACAAACTAAACAATCGGCAGAAAGTGCTTGTATGGAGAACTTTTTCACTTGAAGAGATATTTGCACGAAATTTCTCGTGAGCTATTTTCAAAGACAACGATGCAGAAGAAGAAATTGTTCAAATCCAGTCACTATAGCATATAGCTACCATACAAACTGACCGATCAGAGTTATTGTTAGAAATCTTTTGTATTTGTGAAGGTTGTTATAGCTTCGGTGTAACCGAATCTGACGTTTTTTTTTTGTTTTTTTTTGTACACTTATCTCGATTTTACATTTTTTGATGCGATTTATTTTATTCAATAGGCGTAACTCTATATCAAATTATGACTAAATGGAAGCTTTCTTTAAACGAGTTTTCGTTCTTAGTAACCACATGAAAACCATGTGGGACAGAGTTTTCCCGATGTTTTCAGTAAAAAATCAGCTATTGGTACTGCGGTCCACATTATCGGTAGCTGGTGATTTGAAAAGTTATTGTGCGATTTCGACTATTTGTAGACTGAGATGTAATACTTAAAAGGCACCATTTGTTTTATGTCAAGAAATTCACTGTTGCTTGGTTTGTATACTGAAAAGTAAAAGAATCAGATGGAATTTGAAATTTTGATATATGGGGAGTAGACGTGGCCGCTTTCGCCGATTTTCATACTCTAACATAAGGATGTCGGGATAATACAACATTTTGTACCGAATTTGGTTGACATTTATTAAGTCGTTGTACGAGTCGTATGTACGAGTACATACCACGTATGGCGTATATATATATATAAATATTTGAGTTGTTGTAGTAGTGAAGTATCGAGTACCTTTTAGTACTCAAAATTTTTGGAACTTACTTCGTCTATTGTTCTGAAAATAGTATTGAGAGTACTTTTCGTTTCAATATTGCTCAACAGTATATTGAAACAACCAACAAGGTAATCTACTCATATTAGGGTCAACTTATATGCTAGATGGTTTTTTCATAAGAGTTCAATAAAAAAATATTTAATAATTTTATTAAAATCTTGAAAGATCATAATCTGAAAGCACATCGAGAAAACTGAATATAAAATTTGTTCATAATAGAATTTTTTTTTGAAATACATGAAAGAACTGGAGTTTTATGTTTTAAGTATGCGCAAAGGACTTAAAGCTCTCATCCAATAATCTTAATTATTTTGAGCAGGGGCGGATGGAGAATTTTTTTTTGGGGGGAGGGTCGTTCACTTTCGACATATTTTTAACATTGATGTTACTTCAACAAAAACTTATCAAAAAAACTGTACAAAAAAAAAAAAACAAAACAAAGGCAAGTACCCATCCTAATGTGAAAAGCCTTGTCCCATTCACAGCGGTTCACATGAGAATTTCGCTCTAATAGTCGTACTTCCGCCAAAGCATGTATTTATTAAACTTTAAAATTTTTTTAAAGCTGCGATAAGCTATATTGGTGGTAAAAACGCGTACAAAAAATTCTGACAGACAACTATTTTAATATAACTTCCCGGTGGTGTTCCATAGTCGCCAGTGCGGCTCGTTGATGCCAAAGACTGAACTCACTGATTTTACGAGCATTTGCAATGTTGCATGCTAAATATTGCACACTAGTTGTTGTTGTTGCACTTGCTGTTGCACGCAGCAAGCGCTAAGCCCCAGCATAAGTCACAAACGAGCGAAACAATCTCGCTAATGGAAAAGAGTAGCGGCGTTCATATTGAAATCGGTGGTCATGATGGTGGTGTGAACAGTGTGAAGCTGCTGGTTACTGCACACACACTCGTACATAAGTATAAAGATAAACACATCCATTCTAGATTTAGTGCAAAAAGAAGAAAAAAATGGTGAACAAAATTAAATACATACATACATGAACGAATTTTCATTTGTGAATCCGTGCAATCACTTCAACGATTTGTTGCTGTAGACTCAATGAAAATATCATCTCCAAATGTGTACGAGTCACATACATACAAACAGTTTCTTAGGAAGCCTGCCCGCGGATGGACAAAAA